TTTTTTGGTATATTTTGTTACGAGTGCTCTTTAACCACATCGTTAGTGCTGTGCTTAGTCGTCGTATCTACGAATATTTGTGATCATTATGGCAACCGACCTTTCCGATTACAGTCCCACTCATTACAGGCGATTCTTCCGCTGGGGCTATTTGCTCAACACAAGGAGAAGGAGCAGGAATTTCCTTGTTGCCTTCTAAAGAGCTTCCAAACTCCTTAAACTCGTTATTTCTCAGGACCTCTTTGAAGAACAAACCTATCATAAGATTATCTCTCTCTCTAGCAGTGGGAAGCCACACACTTTTATGGACAAGAATTTTTGTTGATTTGTAGGTGTTGTATTGCCTTGAACCAACAAACAATTTGTGATTGCGATAGATTGTAGCAAAAGCATGCGATGCTAAACAAAATCCACCTTTAGTTCAAGAGAGAGCTGGTTATTTATAGAAATGGATTCATAGATTAACATTACCTTCGTGATCGTCTTTGCGTATATCACCGGTGGATATGCAGATAGAGTTCCGCAAGTTATTAATAGCATCACAACCTATTACGAAATTTTCTCCCGTATCGATAAGTCCAATTCTTTTCAAAGTGGAGCAATCAAGACTTCTCGATGTGAATCCAAGATTTTCTCCGAGGAAATCAAGTTTGCTACCATTTGTATTTCGCACTAACATCGGGAGCGAATCGAGGAGACTTAATGAATCTGTTAATAAAGTAATATTCGGCAAAAGTTGAAGCGCTACTACTAGTAGGTTGCTTGGGTTAGATATTTAGAGCCACGGCTCTGGGCACCTTCACCAATGAGCGAAGAAAGAGTAGGACCCTCATCTAAGAAAGCTTGACGAAGTTAAGGACTGGGGCGGAGCCCCGGACATCGACTTTTCTACACACTAGAAGTTTGAAGATCGAGAATTATAAGACGAATAGGGGGAGGAAATTTTGCTTTATTGTTAACGAAATAAGATTAAGATATTGTAGTACATAAGAACTATGGATTTTAGTGAGAATAATAACGTAGTTTTAAAGGCAGAAGTTGAAGTTGAAAGGCCACAAACTGTGAGGAATAAGCTCTGTACCTATTTCCTTCAAAGCAGTTGATGTGTTTAAGAACTTCGAAAGGCATCGTTGGAAGTAATAATTATTATGATTTAGAATTAACTATAGAAGCATGTACGTCAGGTAGATTTGATTAGTGAAAATCAAACGGATATAAAAAAAATTCGTTACGATGGAACTTATGAAAGTTACGCAGTTGTTAGCTGTTATCTCCATACGATTCTGAGCAGAATCTTATATGGATGTTGGGAATTTCGTTAAGTAGGAGTAAAGATAAGCCACCACAGCCTGTCGGCTTTGGTCGTTCTCTGCTGCCTCTCAAAATTGCATTCTCTCTACGCAACTAGCGTCTTCCATGAGGCATTTGGCTCTGGTGCCCTTTTCTCCGTTCTTTGCAAGTTAATGTAAGCGAATCGTATATCAGTATGAAGGTCTTGAGACGTATATCTGAATAGACAACTGCGCAACATTCAATTTTTTGGCATGGGTGGATGATAAGAAAAATCGTGTTTTTGTTCTATTCGTTTTCTAAGTCAAATTGAATTTTTGAGTCCGTTTTTTTCACCCATTTGACAGAAAATCTTACACAGTACAGCTGGCAACTGCGCAAATTTCAGTATCAAATGTCCAGCGAATTATTTGAAGGACGCACCATAAACCCGTATCTCTTTTTATGACCTTCCGAACATTTATTGCTGCTGGACTTTCTTAACCTTAAGATCATTTCGTTTGCAATGTTGTGCTGAGAACGCAGACAACTGCGTAACTTTTAGAAAATCAGTTTAAAGAGATCATTCAAAGAAAACATGCAAAAGCACCTTTACTTTTGAAGTCGTTTTTTATTTGAATATAGGAGGAACAATTTCGCTTTCAGTCTCATTCTCAGTGCTTGATTCTATCGAATCACTATCATCTAGCTCTGACCACTCTTGTCATCTCATAAATTTCTTCAATTTTTCCGCGTTTCCCCGTTCTCAGCTAGCTCTTTGTTGGTCCCAAAGAGAAGAATATGCGCAGTTAACGCGCAAACTTCAAAACTGAAATGACCCCTCTAAGATCTGAGTATGGTCTGAAACACGTTGAATCATGTGAATACTGTTCACAAGTTCGCTTTTACGTAAAAACAACGTATCTAGCTCCTCAATTTGTTAGAGGTATACGCATGGAAAGGAAGGAAAACAAAAAAAAATGGAAAGTGTGTGCAGGAAGTGTTATGTTTTTGCTACATCTTCTATTGATTACGTTTGGAAAAAAAGCATTTTTCCCTTTGCTTTGTTTTGAACCAAGAAAATATGCTTAATCCCTCTTATTAGCTACCATAGTAAGTCAAAAACCACCTTCATTTTTTTCAAGACTCCTGAGTTAAAATCACTATCACTTTTGTTGTCTTGTCTTTGGAGTATCGAACCTATGGTTACTAGTGGCCGGTTCCAATTACAGGGTCCCAAAAAAAACTACTTTATCTTCAATAGTCTTAGTCTTTTAGGAACAATTTTTGGTCTTAATGATTCGAAAGGGTAGCATGAATCTGCAATGTTTCTAATTTTGAATCGATCTGCACCTAATTCCTTTTTGGTGAGATTACGGTATGAAGTTGCATGTGGCTTCAGCGCTGCGCAAACATAGTTGGTATTGGCCCGGTAAAGTTAGAAATGCTTAACGATAGTTTTCAGCCAGACGACTACCATAATCTTTTGTAATGGGCAGACACAAAGATTTGGAGATCTAGGCTTAAGCTAGCCCTTGAGATCTGGAAAACATTAGAGACAGAGTTATTGATTGCGCCATAATTATTTTAGATATCCTGCAATTTCGTAATAGGACTTACATTTGAGAGCTGTTTCCGCTTGCCTTAACTTGAATTGCGTCAGCCGATAGAATGCAATCTATGTTAAGCAATATCTTTTTAGAGTCCTGTCAAAATAATTAATTAATTTCTGCTTTCGTCAATGTTGACATTATCTTTTCGCCTTTCGCCTATTTAGGCCCTCTTACCTCGGTTTGAATTCCACTTAGATTGGCACACTTCTGTAAAATCGTGGCGATTGCTTGAATTTCGGTTGAATTCAAATCAGATCGCTTCTCGGAATGAAGCAACGTTTCGTTCAAGACTTTCGACACGTTCTTCAGATCAACTTCGTTCTAATAAAAATATATATTATCTATCTGCGTAATAGCCTCGTGATCGGATTTGTCAAACCTCACTGAGCTCCTTCAAACTTTGTGCATTCTTAGTCACCGTTGTCATATGGTAGTTTTGCGTCGTGCTGACATCATGTGCGCCAAAAGAGATAAAATCAACCACTCGAGAAGTTAAAGCATTAAGTTTTCTTTATTTTCTTTACAATTGTTAATCTTACCGTTACATTACTACTACCAATTTTTAAATAGCTCTTACTTATAGAGTATTATATAACGCATTAAGAACGTTTGACAATTAAATTTTTTCAAGTGAAGCCAACGTTTTGTTCAACGACAATCCTTTCACTTAAAAATTCGTTACAGTGGAAATGGGTAAGATTCTGTCACATTTGGAAAGTTTCGGGTGTTGCGCTTGAAGACTGGCTATGGTATCTTTGCTTTCCTCTAAGTTTCAGAATTCATTAACAGAAATGATGAAGTAAATCTACAAAATCCTACCTGCTGTGCAGCTGTGTACTTATTTCTGAATTTGACTTAGTAGGTGGCATGATAGTTTCTGAGGTGAACTCCTCTGTTCCAATATGCGGACTTGTAGTGCGTAATGGAAATGAAGTCGGTGCTGGATTTGGACTGTAAAACATAACATCTCAAATAGTAGTGTTGTGGTTCTTTCATCAAACGAAGCCTTGAA